GAAGAACTGTCGGATATATTCCCGGAGGTCGGACTGCCAACAGGGCTGCTGTGGTTTCTCTTTCCCGTCATGTGGAATAATTAATCAATAAATGATCAAAAAACCAAAGGAGATTAAGTGAAAGTTTTGTTGAGTCTAAGGAGGAGGATCGGAGGGGAAGGGTTTATAAGGAAGAAGAGGTAGTGAGATGGAGAAGTAATAGAAAAAGTGGAGAGGCGGTTTGATGGAGACAGAAAAAAGAAAGAAACAAGGGAGTTGGGGATCAGAACCATGGCAAAAGGATGGCTTGGGAAGGGTGGAATCTGAAGGAGAAAAATTAAAGTTAAAAAAGGTCTTCAGTAAAACAGTAGATAGTCTGCTCTGCTGCAATCCTTACAATATTGTGGAATAATAGTAATGTTTATTATAGTTATTTTTATTCGGTGGGACGTGTAAATTGATATATATCCATTTAGTACATTAGATAATAGTTGTGAAAAATATCAACAAACATGATCAACAAATCATTATTGTTTAATTTGAGAAATTACAACAAACAAACAATCTCAATACTTAATCAATTTTTTCAACAACTTGTTGTTGTCTTTGATAAATGATAATGATTGATATATTTTTCGATTGAATAGATCTATTAAAACTTATTAATTTAGTTATTAAATTTTGCAAGTAAAATTTCCTCCATCTTAAATTTAAATTTGAAAATATAGTAATTTTTTAATAAATATATTATAATATATATTAAAAAATGTACTAATTATTGTTTTTGATAAATTTATTTGTACTTAGAGGTATTTCTAGTCAAATTACTATATTCCTAGGTCAGGTATCTTTTCTTTCTGAATTATGCAAAGCAAGGCCTCTAAAATCCCCTACTTTTCCCTTGGAAAGTTTCAAACTGAGGTCTCCTTTATCTTATAATTTTCTTTTGTTTCCTTTTTGTTACAAGTTCTTTTATTTTCTTAGCGAAGAAGCTCAATAATTTGGCAACACAGGGTCCCATTATACCTCTATGAATTGAAATAATGGTGGAATAAAATCCCAAACATAAACCAGACATAAATTCATGGAAGGTAGCGGAGTTGAGACACACCCTCTTGTCGTCCTGCAGCATATATCTATATATCATGTTTCAGTGTTTTAATTCATTGATTTTAATTTGACATAATGATTTTTCCAACTTGGACGACAGAAAAATATAGTCTACGTTATGAAAGTACTAAAATACAAAATTACATACAGTCCAAAACTAAAAAGGATATTTTGCTTAATTCAAAACCATGCAAGTTGTTGGTAACAGTAAAATTTGGTGTTTTTTTTTTTTTTTTGGTGGAAAGTAAAATTTGGTGTTGAATCCATATACCATATGAACGAACAGGGTATCTTTTGTACGGCTTCAAAAGCGGAAGCTGGTAGGCACATCAGCACATATGCCCTCCATCACTTCGCTGGCTATCTTTAATTTTCTGCTTTCACTTATGGGATTCTTTCCATCACATCCCATGACTGCTACAGCCATTTCCTAACACCATCTCATTTAAATTATTAATTTCCAAAGTCATAGTTACCCACTTGATTAAATGTTCATCTGTCCAAAATTTCGGTAGTCTTACTATAATAGTATGTTTTGCAATTCAGAAACGGAACAATTTTGGTGTTTCTAAAGCTGATGAAACCCTTGAGTTTCAAGTTTTCAAGAGAGTTTGTACGGTAGTTAATTTGCGAGTCTAATAACTCTATTAGCAACTTCGCTCCACTATTAATTATATCTTTTTTTTTGCTAATTCCATAAAGAGAGAAACTCTTTTCGTATTAACTTTTTCATTTATAAGACTTGAATATAAACTTTACTTAAAAGAAATTAAATTCCTTTAACTTTTTATTCGGATCAACAAGTCATTAGTACTTTTAATTATATGTTAAAAGATTTTTTTAATCTACATTCTAAAGACACAAATTAAAGATTTTTTTATCATAAATATATCTAACAAATAAAAATTGATATTAATTTTAGTATAAGTACTAAGTGAATGAATTTTTGAGACAATTTATAAATTAAAAGTTAATTTTTATTTTTCAATATAAATTTATAATAAAAATATATATTTATTACATTTTTAAAGGTACATGTAAAAATAACTTATGTTAAAGTATCATTAAACAATATCATTAATGTGATATAATTTTTGAGACAATTTATAAATTAAAAGTTAATTTTTATTTTTTAATATAAATTTGTAATAAAAATATATATTTATTACATTTTTAAAGGTACATGTAAAAATAACTTATGTTAAAGTATCATTAAACAATATCATTAATGTGATATAACATTGTATGGAAATTAATGGTGCGTGGTGTAGGACAAGGAAAATGCTAGGCTTATAATGCTTTAAGTAAATATTGTTTATTATTCATTTATTAATATTTAATGAGATAAATTTTAAAATTTTAAATCAAATTTTTAATTTTTAAATATAAAAATTAACATTTAATAATGAAATAAAATTTTTAAATTTTAAGTTAAATTTTAATTAAATGAAACACCTCAACCAAGTTGGCTCCTAATTTTTGGGCGGTCAAAGCTGTAAGTCACAGGTGCGCCGGAAACGAAATTTTAACTTAATATTTCTCCAAAATTCGACCAAGACCAAATTGAACTCTTTCATTATTTGTATGCCTAAGACATTGCAATTGATAATAATTGTTTTAAAGCTTTGCGATCCAAAGTGTAATTTTCAACTTTATCATTATGGCAGCTTTATTCGCATCTAAATGTTTATGATATCATATCGAATCCCAAACATCTTAATCTTTTCACACCACACCTAACTAGTTAACTACATGTACATAAACATTAAACAATGGAATATATATAAACCCTACATAAACCTTTTTTTTAATATTACATCTTTAGTTTTCGAAAGACTCATTATATTTTAATTAATTTAAAGTCAAGTTGGTTAAATCTTATAAATGAGAATCTCTCTTAATATTTATTTCTGAATTTATAAGATTTGATGATTTTAAGATTTTACTTCTTTTTATTTACATTAACAGTTAGTTTGGTATGCATAAACCCTTTAATCAGCAGAAAAATGACAAATGGCTTCTTTTGAAACTACCTTAATTACGTATATATTCCAGCCAATAGCAAGATTAATAAAATACTCGGAACAATCTCCAGATTGCTGGCCCCCTCAATAAATTATAAGTATATACTAGATCAAGCTGATTTCACAGTTCAACCTTTTCTTATTCTCGCTTCCTCTCCAACTAGGATCGACAATGAGGAGAACTGAATTGTTAAACAAATTAAAACATTCAAATAGATGCTTTTCATCACCTAAGACAGTCTTGGCGCTTATGACAGAAGGCTGTCTTGCTTAATTCCCACTCTACGGGGACGTGTCCGTATACATTCAAGGACGGTTTGTTAAGTTGACTATATGATTAAAATACAGTAGTTTAACTGATTAAGTCGATATAATTATAATATTATATAACATTATAAATATATAATATGATATGTTGTTATATTATTTGTGTTTATTTTACATTTTAACCTATTATTTGTTGTAAAAAAAAATTACTTATGTTTGATTTACATTTTAGTAGTGTGAGAATATTATTTTGATTTTGATAAAAAAAAAAAAACTTATAGCAAAACAAAAAACATTATATATCTCAATTGCATAATTGTCTTTTTTTATTAATATACAAAGAATTCATTAATTAATAAAAATTCTTATGAAGAGAGACCGAAAGGAATCCATGACCAATCATAACAATAAAAATACCACAAAAGTGATAACTTATTAACATTTTAATAGTTGTTTCAAGTAGTTAAAAATTTAAAATTTTATATTAAAGATTTTGAATTTAAATTTTGAGATGAATAAAAAAATTAAGAAAAAGAATAATTTAATCATACTTAAGTACCAATAAAAAAATAATTTTCTTAATTAAAGGAATAGTAATTCTGAGTTTGGATAACGAACATATAAGAGAGTTGGGTAAAAGAATTGGAAAGAGATGTCTTTCACTTGCCTTTGTGACCACCATATCGGCATATCCTAGATGGATAGGTCGCTTGGAAAAATCTATTGCCGTAGATAATGGGCTGTAAGTTTCACTGGTTAACAACATATAGATTCCAATAAACCATTGCCCTAACTCCTGGCCCAATTTCATTCTACTCAACTGAAAAACAAACTTGAATTTCAAAAACAACGAATAATTTTTTAATATAGTTTTTATATATTTTTTAATATTTGATTATAAATTATATAAAAAAATAATTTTTTTTTAATTTTTAATTTTTCTCCATCAATTCAAGATTTAAATTTGAAATCTGTAATTTAAAGTATTAAACTTTTTTTTATTTTGATTATATAATAAGAAACAATCATTTTTCATCCTTTATCTCACTCTATTTACATATCATTTAACTCAAACTCAGATGCTTTTACTTTTAATAAAAAAAAATCATTAAATTATTTAAATTATTCGTAATATCAAATTTTTAATCATTAAATCACTCGTAATATTATAATTTTTATATATTATTTAATAAGTAAATATATTTTATAATATAAATTTTATATGAATAAACAATTAATTATTTAATTATTAAGTAAAATTATACTGAAAATTAATAAAAAAAAATTATTGCATGAATCATTTTCTAATTTCAAAACATTTTTGTCTGAAGATTTTACACGTAAGCCAAAAAGAGTCCAAAATCCAAAGCTTTGTGGCTGAGACACTCCTGCTCCGCTTCGCGCGTCTCTCAGCCAATAAGAATCCCCCAATCTCCCTCCCCTTAATCCTACTCTTGCCACGTGTCCCCCTCATCTCCACTCAGTCCTTTCCCTCCTTCTATTTTTATTTTTGATTTTTACTTATTTTTATTTCTTTTTTCTCTCCTGCCTGTTCTGACCTCTTCTTCTCGCCTCCCTTCTCACACCGCTAGTCCTTCTTGTTTCTCACTCTCTTCACAAAAATCATGGAAATTAGGTGTTAGGGTTTACTTCAGATTCTGTCCGGCGGAGGGAAATCCTTACTTTTTCCAATGATGGCGTCGTCTTTACAGTTACCGGACCTTGCTTTTCTTTCTCCAAAACCAACTCTGAAGAAGCACCGTTTTTGTCTCATTAAATGTCCCATTTCTAGAATTTCTTTGTCTAGAAACCATGTTTGGTACAATTTCGCTACACGAACTCGAGTTCGAGCCAGTGAAGAATGGAGTACTGGAGTTGAAGAGAGGGAGGCGGAATTGCTCCAGGAAGTTAACGGTAGTCTTAAAGTGAATGGAAATGGTGCTGCTAGTGCTGCTGGTGATACTTGTACTGCTGTTTTGGATGGGAAATTTGATTATAATGAATTATCGGAGAGATACGGGAATGGTGGTTTGAGTGTGGTGGAGAGTGAGGGCAATGGAAGTTTGGTGAAGTATCTGAATGGGAATGGAGCGGCGGCCGCGGCGGAGGAAGTGGTGGAAGAAGAAGATTCGGAGGTTGTGAGGAAGAAAAGGATAGAGGATATTGGAAAAGAAGAGGCCTGGTTTAAGGGAAGCGCCCAGGAGCAGGTTGAGGTATTGCATGAATTATGATTTCATTATGGTCATTGTTAGCTTTTATGAGATCAAACCACCACCATCACCTGATGGCATTGCATCTTCCAGGTTTCTGTTGCTCCCGGAGGCCGCTGGAATAGATTCAAAACATACTCAACCATACAAAGGACCTTGGAAATATGGGGATTTGTTCTAACATTTATATTTAAGGCTTGGTTGAGCAATCAGAAATTTTCCTATCGAGGTTAGTGATTTTCAATATATTGTTATTCTTTTTGGAGATGTAACATAGGCTTTATTCAGGTATGACTTTTGCTTTTGATACTTCACTTCCATGGAAAGATTTAAGGCCTGTAGAACCTTGCTGTGGTTTTGAGCTTCTTATTGTGAAAGCACGTTAATTGGCATAACTGGTGCAGCTAGGGATTACATAAGTCTATCTTTGAAATTATCTTGTACCTAACAATTTTGTCTGAGTTTGTTGTTTCTTTGTTGATCCTCAGATTATTATTTTCTCCTTAGCTTTTGGGTAATACTTGTCTAATTTTAAGGATACAACCATGCAGGAGGAATGACAGAAGAAAAGAAAGTCTTGAGGCGAAAGGCCCTTGCCAAGTGGTTAAAGGAAAATATCTTGAGACTCGGTCCTACTTTCATCAAAATTGGCCAACAATTCTCCACAAGGGTGGACATTCTTGCTCAAGAATATGTTGATCAGTTGTCAGAATTACAGGTTGGAATTTTTTTTTTCTTTTGAAATTTAAAATTTATTAAAATCTGCATGTGAGAAATTAAATCTTGTCTGCTGCATTTTGATGCAGGGATAGCTCCTTCATCTGTAGTATTAACCATTAATTTGATATCAGTTTTCAGAAAGCAAGCCTAATAAGTCTTTCCTTTTTATGACCTTTCACAGATACATGCTTACTAGTTGTTCATAGCTATCTTTTCTTGGTATCAATTCTTTTGGGCTGAACTTAATTTGCTGATTATGTACAGGATCAAGTTCCACCTTTCCCATCAGAGACAGCAGTATCTATTGTTGAAGAGGAGCTTGGAGCTCCCTTAGATGATATTTTTGATTGGTTCAACCATGAACCAATTGCTGCTGCTAGTCTAGGTATTATGACCTTCT